CGTTACTAAGAGTTATAAGGAAGTTGTGGAGAGCCCTGTTCACCCAAGTCATACGGAACATACAAGAAAGATGTATAGCATGCGACTGAAGGTTATCAACAGTGCATTGTCACGGTTCAATGTCAACCAATCCGTAATGACGATGTCTTTTTTACACAAGTCAATTTGACCACAACAGACAGGAATGTAAGAATTTGTATAACAACTTTTATGTTTAGAAATGATAGGGAGAAAACCAAAAAGGAAGGTAATGAGAGAGAAAAAGAGAGGCAGTGATAAAGAGAAGGGGAGGGAACACAGAAAGAGATAAGGGAGAAAAGGAAATGAAGAACGGAATAGGAAAGAGAAATGAGATTATAAAGAGGAAGGGGTGGAACAAAAGCGAAGAGAAAGAAAGAAAGAAAAAAAGAGAAAAGAAAAAAGAAAAAAAAGAAAAGAAAAGAAAAAAAAAGAGAAAGAAAAAAAAAAAGAAAAAGAAAGAAAAAAGAAAAAAAGAAAAAAAGAGAAAAAAAAGAGAAAGAAAAAAGAAAAAAAAAGAAAAGAAAAAAGAGAAAGAAAAAGAAAAAAAAGAGAAAAAAAAGAGAAAGAAAAAGAGAAAGAAAAAGAGAAAGAAAAAGAAAAGAAAAAAAAAAAAAGAAAAAGAAAAAAAAAGAGAAAGAAAAAGAGAAAGAAAAAAAGAGAAAGAAAAAAGAGAAAGAAAAAGAGAAAGAAAAAAGAGAAAGAAAAAGAGAAAGAAAAGAAAAGAAAAAGAGAAAGAAAAAAAAAGAAAGAAAAAGAGAAAGAAAAAGAGAGAAAAAAAAAAAGAAAAAGAAAGAAAAAGAAAGAAAAAAGAAAGAAAAAAGAGAAAGAAAAAAGAGAAAGAAAAAGAGAAAGAAAAAAAGAGAAAGAAAAAAGAAAGAAAAAAGAAAGAAAAAAAAAGAGAAAGAAAAAGAGAAAGAAAAGAGAAAGAAAAAAGAGAAAGAAAAAAGAGAAAGAAAAAAGAGAAAGAAAAAGAGAAAGAAAAAAGAAAAAAAAAAAGAAAAGAAAGAAAAAAAAAAGAAAGAAAGAAAGAAAAAGAAAAAAAAAAAAAAAAAGAGAAAGAAAGAAAGAAAAGAGAAAGAAAGAAAGAAAGAAAGAAAGAAAAAAAAAAAAAGAGAAAAAAGAAAAAAGAAAGAAAAGAAAAGAAAAGAAAGAAAAAAGAGAAAGAAAGAAAAAAAGAAAAAAAAGAAAGAAAGAAAAAGAGAAAGAAAGAAAGAAAAAAAAAAAGAAAGAAAGAAAAAGAAAAAGAAAAAAAAAAAAAAAAAGAAAAAAAAAAAAAAAAAAAAAAAAAGAAAGAAAAAAAAAAAGAAAGAAAAAAGAAAAAGAAAGAAAAAAGAAAGAAAGAAAAAAAAAAGAAAGAGACAGTAAGAAAAAATGTGCGAAATATATAGAGAGGGAGAAAAGTAAAAGAAAGAAATAGAACGGAAATATCAAAGAGGAAAAGAGAAAGAAAGAAAGAAAGAAAGAAAGAAAAAGAGGAAGAACGAAAGGAAGAGAAAAGAGAGAGAAGTGGAAGAAATTGTGAGTAGGGGAAGGGTATATATATATATATATATATCGGTTGTGTCCAGAAATGTACTTTAACATTGCTCTGGGAAATAACCAAGTCAAAACTGAAAAGCATAAAAAAGATTTTTAAAAATTACAAACAGATGTGAAGATGTTTTCTATCTTTATTTTATTTATTTTTACTTTGAGTACACAGATGACAAGTTTACTTTGAATTTTCCTGGCAACTTTGGAAATGGCTTGTTTTGAGTTTGAGAAAAATAAATAAACCTCATGAAAATGTCTGGCAAGTGCGTCAGATCTGATGGTATACAGACATTTTAAATTACGAACAAAATATGTACGTAAGTCGAAAGAACCTCATCTTGAAAGCGAATTCTTTATAAATCTAGATGTATGAGCAACAAGTTTCTGATTGAACCTGAGGCAGTTATTTGGTTGAGTGAAAAATATCTTCGTTTTATTAAGTAAAATTAAAAAAGATATTATTTTCTTCAAAAATTTTAGTTAAGAATATAATTACTGTTCTGTTCTACTGTCTAAGAAATAGACAAGTAAAAATTAATTTTTGTCTAGGCAGTTTGTTTATCATGAAAAGATCAATAAAGACAACAGCATCTTATGATAAAATCGCAGTAGAAGCAGTAGGTGTCTTTCACTGAAGAAAACCCATATCCGCCTTCTATATAATTTCTTTTAAAATCAAGCAAGGCGATAATGCTACCAAAACGCAAAGGAGATATTGAAAATGAAAGAGAAGGCAAAGACTTTAGAAGGAAACGGAAACACGGTATAAACCTCTACTCCTGTTCAAACGACCGAAAGAGTGTGAACTGGGCGATAGGCGGACCTATCTACTCCTATTGACTATCTAAACTATAATTATAAAATACAAGTTTGGGAGGCGAAAATTTCACTGAAATATATTGGAATATTTCCAAATATTCTTTAATGTGAAATCAAATACGAGTTTTAAGCAAAGTTCTCACAATATATGAAAAATGGAAGACATTAGTTTAAACTGACGCCAGGAAGATATGGGTATAAAAAAATTCCCCGTTTTGAAACTAATTGTAATTGATTTTATTTGTTTTTATATAGATTTTTGTAGTTTGATATTTATATAGCTTGTATGATTTCGTTCTTATATAGCCTTTAGGATTTGATCTTTATATAGCTTTTGTTATTTAATCTTAATAAAAAAATTCTACAAATTTCAATTATTATAACAACACAAGATTTCTTCATTCGTCCATTTCTTGGCAATAAATTACTGAATAGGAAATGTGTGCTTATGACTTGTTTTCCTAATGTTTTGGTCGATATTTTTTTCTGACACACACGAATGTGATTATTTAGTCTGCTCCTGAGATGCTTATTGCATATTAATGATACTTTCAAGATAATTAGCTATAGAATAAAATAAACAGATTTAACTAATGGGTTCAGTTTTCGAAAAATGTCACTTCAATTTCAAATTCTTTTTCATAAATGTGAAAGTCTTTGGGTATCATGTTCTTCAGTAAATTTCTTCATTATTAATAAACGTGCTCACCACTCGACCAAATATTTGGCTTCAGGTAATAGATTTGGATTCAAAACGTGTCAGCATATTAACTAAACCTGACTCTTAATGTTAATTCATTTATATCGCTAAAACTTTGGTGCCGAGGTTAACAAACGGAACTGACGACAGTTTTAGGAAAAGGGGATTATATTTTTTTAGTTCTTTGGGCTTAAATTCAATCAATTCAATCAATCAATCAATCATCTCTGCTAATTCTTCTAAGACATCAGGTAGTCGACACTGTCTCCTTCGATCTATCAGCACTGAGTAACCTGATATCATTCCAGCTATTGCCCACTCATCTCTGACGGTTCGCTACCAGTAATTTTTATCAGCCTCGATTTTGCTTTCCATTGGGAAATCATTATCTGTCTATATTTCTGAGATGAGGTATTATGTACATTATTTACATTATTCGGACTATTGTACTCATCTTTGTCGCCATATTTATTACAACGTTTCGGCTGTTGTACGCTCCGGCCTTTATCAGGTGGTTGGAATGTCGAACTAAACCCTTTATTTCGCTCACTGGGGTAGACTGTTCTAGTTCCATATGTCATGTTTAATGGATGTCACTTATCACCTGTTAATTTCCCTCTGAAAGTTCTCCACTGCGTTAACCGGGTATTGAACTCACACTCTTTGGGTCCTGTCACTGGATCTAACCAACGTCTTTATCCATTGTGCTGTGTGTCCTTAAGGCACTGGAGAACTGCTGGGTTTAAGTAGGTTGATGACAGAACATGGTTTGGGAGAGCTAGCGAAGGGACAAAACTTATTGAGATCTACAAGTGATAGGAGGAAGTGGAGGGCCATGATCGTCTACGTCCTGAAGGGACACGGCACATTAAGAGAAAATACTAGAATGGTAACTACGTATCACGGTTTTACTGTTGAAACAGCTAGATATAAACGTAAGTTCGATTCCAATAGTTTCTTTTCTCACACTTCTCACTTATGAAACTCCTTTCCAATTTCTTGCTTCCCTGCCACGTACAATCTTCAAAAAATGTATATGCAACTTCATTCCGCCATCTTCTGTCTTCCTGGATTCTGTTTCTTTTTCGCCCTTTTCCTCACTCCGTCTCACTAAAGTCTTCTCATTCTATTCCACTCCCTGTAAATCCTTGCGTCTTAGTGACATTATCGCCTTGCTTGGGGTAAAACGATTAAAAAAAAGATAGAATGTTACTGTTAAAAAGGATATGATAAATGAGGTGGGTGATTGATATGACCTGGAAAGAGATATATTTGTTCGAAGTAGCAAAGTGGTTTTTGGACTACTGTAACCAAGTAGGACAATCTAGCAGGTAACCATAATGGACTGGTCCTCGTCGTAGTGGTAGGCAATAGGCGTAGGCAATAAGCGTCGTCGTACATCAGTCTGTATTTATGGCTGACACCAGCCAATCATATTACTGTAAGGGGGAACCCAGGTGTACGCATATTCATTATGTCAGTGATATGAATGAAAGAGGTGGGGAATAACAAGTAGGTTATAAGGATAAGGAAGATATTCGCCACTTAGCACTAGTAGGTCCTGCTGATGATATTAGGAGAACACTGATAAAACATTTGGCAATTATGTATTGAAGGCCCACATATTGCATTGAATGATTTGTTTTCTGCAGTTTATCAACCCTTTGTGGGCTATTTAAAACCAGAAATTAATTTTAGATTTTAAGAACTGATTTATTTTATTTTTATTTATTTATTTATTTATTTTTTTTAGATAATAATGATTTAGTAATACAAGTCTTACTAATCAACTAGTATCTACGTGTGGGGAGAGGGAAGAGGTGATCCCATAGTTTTTTCGAAGGGTATTTGCGCGTAAGTGAATATAACGAACTCGACTGGAATTGGAACTCGGTTCTGATTTCCAATTCCATCCGCACATTCAAGCACAGCACCTGGTATTCCCAAGCAGTCACTCATCTAGATATTGACCAGACTTTGCGTTGCTTAACTTCTGTGATAGTACGGGAACCGGTGTTTCAAAGTTATAATAGCGTAAGCCGCATATCATTGCAATCTGCTGATGCTGTTAAATCCTCGGTCAGAAAGTTAGGGATCGATTTGGCACTGTATAGATATTATAAACCAGACCCCCTTTTAAATCGATAAAAAAAATCAATATTTTTCGATTCTGAAAAGTGTTTCTGCGGCCTAAGGAAGCTCTAAAGAATGCTAATGTACACAAAGTTATTTCCTAAAAATTTTTCACAATTTTATTATGAGCAGACCAGTCTATTTAAGTAGTGCTCCTAGACCAAATGTCCAACTAAGTAAGGTAAGGGACATATCAATACGTCATCATATTGCTGTTTAAATATTGGGGTAAATTTAACATTTGAATACTAACTTAAATTTTCTTTGGGGAATAGATGAATACGCACGCACGCACACACACACACTCTCTCTCTGGCTATGGGTTAAATAGCAGGATAGACTGGGCTCTCTAGCCTTGTGTAGCAACCAGTCTAAAAGAGGAAAAAAACTCTAAAGCGTGGAGAAGGAAATGGAAAACCGCTCTCTTCCCATGAACGCGCAGCAATTCACAGATAATAAAGAAACGAAATCTGGGGAGAGTCATAACCGCCTCCGACCTGAAGGCACATGGCAATAAAAAAAATTCTATCAATCACTGATATTTATTTCTTTTTCTGATAATATTGCTGCGTTAAATTCATTTCAAAAGGATAAAACTACATTTAACAATATTTAATTTTTATTACATTTTATCCTAACAAGTTAACCATGCTAATAAGATGTTTTCAAATAAATGTAAAGTATTTCTGTTCAAATAAAAAAGTTTATAAATAAAAAAATGAAATAAAAAATTTATTTCCAAAATTGAGAAATGATTAGATTTTTTTTTAATATTCTTCAATAACAACAGCTGTTATTCGTTTCGTTTACTTAAAAGAAAATCATCTCAGCAGACTTCTAAAGTATCCGGGAAATTTTTCAGGCTAATAATATAAAAAGCAATACAAGGAGACCTAACAATGGATATACAAAGTTCTCCGAGTTGAAGGAACTCCCAAAGAACCGCCTCAGGAGAATGGATTTACAATGTGTTAATGAAATAAGAGAAAGACAATGGATACATCCGGAGTCAGACTTCCTGAGTTTAATGGGATTATGACACGGAAAAAAAATCAAAGGAGTAAATATCTGTGGGAATCTGCGGAACTTTTTTTTTTTTAATCATTTCGAACGAAAGGCGATAATGTCACTAAGATACAAGGGGTTTCTGGGAGTGGAAGAGAATGATAAAGCTTTAGTGAGGAGAAAAGAGGATCAAAGAACAAAACAAGAAGTTGGTTTTGAAGATCGTAGGTGGCAGGGGAACAGGAAACTGAAAGAGAATATTAGAATAGTTACGTCTAGTAAAACAATGGGACCTAGTTGCCAATCTAGTAATACTCTTAAATACTCTTCATGTGGTTGAGGTGCCAAAGAGGAGAGTTCACCAGAACAGTTGCCAGGAAAATATTTGTAGAAAAGACACAGAAAAGCCACGTCATGGCGGTGGGAAAGTGACTGAAGCCGAGATGCCAGTTCAGGACCGATAACCCTTCTTTGGTTTGGTTTACGGCATATCAACCTCAATGGGTTATTTAATACCGACAAAATTTTTATTGCTGGTAATATTTTTTTTTAAATATGTATTAATGGTAAAATTGCTGGTAATAATTTTTCAAAAAAAAAAAAAAAAAAAAAAAAAAGAAAAGAAAGAAAAGATTGCTGGTATTAAAAACTATTTTTATACTTTCATAGTGTTTTGACTCCTTTGGGGGAAGGGGGCTTAACTATTTGATCATAGCTGGTCAAATAGTTAAGCAGGTGCTACCACCCCGGGTCAGGGTGGATCTGGGAAGTCTAGCAATTAAGAGGTGATTCTACGCTACTCAAAACCTCCTGATCAAAGACCTTACTGTCGGATGTAGTTTATCGTCTTACCCAGGACGCCCTTCTTTGGATTTTGTCGAGATAGCGAGCCGGGGCATCAGACCAGATATGATAGCAATATTCAATGCACGGACCGATGGTAGATCTATAAATATGCAAGATGGCAGGACACAGTTAACCAACTTTCCTATCGGCAGACATAGCAATTGATTCAATATAATTACTCCTCTTTATGTCAGTAGAATATGTGAGTCCAAGAAGGCGCACTGAATTGCCCTCCTACCACCTAAACTCTGGTACATATTTCACAGCTTAAGTAATATAATTTGAACACTGACGTACAAATCTATATATGAGGGTTGACTGATAGGCAAGGTCTCCATTCCAATAAAACAAGTTTTAGATCAGTCAAAATGATAAAACTAGTATAAAAAAGAAAACATTTTATTTCTCTTCTGAATAATGTAACGGTTAGTGACTTGAAAAAACAAATCAGTGAGCCGAGTTCGAATTCCGGTTGAATTCGGTACCTTCACTTTCGTACAATACCCTTGGGAATCGTACTAAACCATCTATTCTCCCTCCAGCTAAGAGTTAAATAGCAATATTTTATTTTTACGGCACGAAGATCCAAATGTGTTGATATATATTGATTTCAAAGATGGAAAAACGAAGTATTTCTATTAAAGCAATGTGTAAGAAAAAGTGGTTGGTTGGTTGATTTTGTTTAGTGGTATATCAATCTATATGGTTTATTTAATGTCGAAATTAAAATATTTTTAAACAAAATTATGGTTTTAACTAAATATATTTCGAACACAATTTTATGGCTTGAACTAAGTAAATTTTTGAATGTAATTGTATGTCTTCAACTACAGATAAAATGTATTGTTGCTAATATTTTTTATATAAAAATGTATTGCTGTTATTTTTATACTGTCATAGTGTTTTGATTTTTGTTTGTAGGGGTTAACTATTTGCCCATAGATAGGACCCTAACAGGTTCCACCGCCTCGGGTCAGGGTGGACCTGGGCACAACAGGAATTAAGGGGTGGTACCACAAACTCAAATCCTCCAATTTCCCGATCAGAAGCCTTGCTGCCGGATGTAGTTTATCGTCATACCCAGGACTAGAAAAGAGTGGTAGTCGCCATTGAAGAGGTAGGACTACTAAAATAAATTAGTTCGATCATAATTTTTTTTTCCTTTGAGGGGAATATTTTTGTTGATTAACGTCCAGTATACCTTCTTTTAATCACGAGATTTGTCAAAATCGAAATGTATTGAATTTTTATCGTTTTAGAAGGGGGGGGGTCCTCTTCATAACATAAATAGTGTCAAATTTCATCCCTGACTTCTTAAAGAAGTACTTTCTTTGTTTTTCCCAAATGTCAATTATATACTGATATACATTTTTTAAAAAGATATTCTTCCTAGTTTTTTTTTTTTTTTTAAGGGACCTGTTAATTTAAATAGACCCGAAGATGTTAACCGAGTGAAGGAAGGCTGACTGATACGTTTTGGTACTTAAAGGAAATAAATAGCCAGAACCTCCTTCCCGTAAAAAAAAAAAAAAAAAAAGGAGGAAAAAAAAGTTCCTGGGCTGAGCATCCGGAATTAAATGCATGAGGTGGTGGAAAAGAAATAAAATAAAAAATAAATTAAAAATATAAAAAAAAGAAGCTACCCCCCCACCACACTTCCGGTCGGTATTCGACCAGTGGTTACTTCCTCCCTTATGCAAACATTCGCCTCAACATCCAGAACCCTGAACTTCCGTTATCTTCCGTCTGGGGCTTTCATTTAGAAGAAGCTTCAGTTTCTTCTGGCTGTGGAAGACATTATGTCATCCAGAGGAGTCATTTTCTCCCTGCTTCAACGCCCTGCATTTTTAATTGCCCTTAATTAGATTTCTGTTGTTGTAGAAGGAACAAGATTTACTTTGGTTGCCACAATATCCGTTTCTCATATCTGCAGCCACAAAGGTATCAAGGATTTTACAAATACATACTATGTTCACCATTTTTTTCTTTGTTACGTAAAATGTGACACCAGTGTTGAACTGGGCCTAAAATATTGATTGCAGGAGACAAACGGGGCCCACCCACAACTACGATACTATCATTTAATTTTCATAACGAATAAATTAAATTTTCAAAAAATCCATATGTAAAAAAGGGCCAGTTAATATTTTCATGGAAAAATGTGTATTTCTTAGTAATTACATTGTACATATAACTGTATATATTATTGGTAGTAGATATTAATTGTGTATATATTATTGGTAGTAGATACTAATTGTGTATATATTATTGGTAGTAGATACTAATTGTGTATATATTATTGGTAGTAGATACTAATTGTGTATATATTATTGGTAGTAGATACTAATTGTGTATATATTATTGGTAGTAGATACTAATTAATGTATATATTATTGGTAGTAGATACTAATTGTGTATATATTATTGGTAGTAGATACTAATTGTGTATATATTATTGGTAGTATACCCTTGTGCAAACTAAATGAAACAAAACGAATAATTCTGCTATTATTTACTACTTTTGGATTTTTCCAATGAAACATGACCCAGTACACATGTTAGTACTTCATATGTCCATTCCACGAAGTCATGCAGATTGACCACAGATTCTTGATTGGATTTAAATCAGGAGAATTTCCGGGCTAGTCTATAGTACTTTGATTTGCTCACTGGTAAGGCTTGCCAGTGTTTTCGCGCAGCGTTACAATTTTCGTTTGCTTCCTTGGAGAAACGTCCATCGCAGACAATGGCCATAGGGCAACTAATCGACAGTCGAGACAATAGTGTCTTGGCTTGATAAAAATCTGATATAATCACGGGTGTCGCAATATTATTTAAGGCCAAACAAATTTCATCATACACCTCGAAAATAGATTCATATTACTGCACACCACTGCAAATGACCAAATCTGAGGAAAAACAGGAATCGGTTACACCTGTTCAATCCAGTGGGTCTAAAACTGACCGTATGCTGAAAGAAAGGAAACTAAAACGGTGGTTTTAATTAATTTGCACAAGGGTTTAGATACCAAATGTAAATACAGAATGGTATAATTTTTTATTTATTTTTCTAACTTTTAGAAATTGGTTGATATTTTTAAATAGTTTACCGCACAATTTAAACATTAACAAATAATTCAAAATTGCAATAAAGCACTACATGCATATTAAGAGCAATAGTCTGTGTTCACCAGACAATTGTTCAAATCTGCCAATAATTGCTTCTGCATTCAATCTATCTTACAATTCCTTTCGATTTATTTATTTTCTACTGCTTATCAACCTTTTGCAGGTTAAACAATACCTTTTCAATGAATTGCAATATATATGGTTGCTAATTCTCCTGCCAATTTCTTAACCTTGTCCTTATGATCTTTAGCTTTGAAAATGTCCTCTCACATTGGACTTCAATAACAGATAGTGTGCAGATGAATTTATATAGTTCTTATTACTTTTTATTACTTAATCAGTTGTCTGTGTTTTTTTTTTTTTTAATGCATTTTTATTTGGTATAGAGGGCCCATTTTCCACCGGGCCAGTTGAAACCCAGACCATTCCGCCACTGTGTGGTGCATAGATCCGAAGACGCATTTGAATCACTAAAGATACCTAAACAAAGATATATGAAGAATTAATTCGTTCTTGACGGCCGTTCCTAACACGAAATGTTCGTAAACCCAAAACTATTTCAAATAGAAATCAATGTACAGAAAAAAGTCACAGTATAATAAAATTGCAAAAGAAAAGCACGACAACAAACGAATGTATACAACACGGCGGTCTACTCAGGAATTATTCCGTTCGGGTTAACTTGGTTCGGCTATGTTGCTTGAGAACCGAAATTTTGTTCGATAACCGAGGCATTTTTATCTCGAATTTTATGTTCGAAAACCGATTTGTTCGATATGCGAGACATTTGACAAAAGAAATTCCTCTGTATTACCATCTATTAAGCAATACAGATTACACGGTATTTTTTAAAAAAAGAAATCACATGGTATAAGCAGATTTTGTTTTAACTTCCGTATGGCGATAAATTTACAATGAATTTACATAGTAAGAGGGTTGCTGAATGAGATTGATGCATGTAAGATGAGATGGTCAGTAGTGCATATTTGTTAGAGAGTTTTAGTTTAGGTTTTGTTTCATGAAACTGTTTTAACATGGATAATTCAAAGATTAAATTGCAAATAACATTACGTACACCCTTGTTAAGATGGCGGCAAGTGACGGATTCAAAGTTCTACCAAATTATATATCAATTGTAATAAAAAAAAACTTTAGTAAAGAAAATATAGCAAGATAAAGAGGATTAACTTTTCGAGTCAACTTAATAATACTCTTAATCTCAACATTTTTGTTTGAATTTCTTAAGGCAACTACAGCAGCGATCTGCCTCAAACCCAAACCGAAATTAAAAATCTTCACTCCCAGCTGAACAACGAGCTTTCAGATAGACTTCCAGTTCTGAACATGAGCTGCACTATGACTTGGCCTTAAGTATAGAACGCCATGGTTTAAAGATAATCTGTCTAAAATAATATTTTATCGCTTTTAAAATATAAAAATAAAGAAAAAGGGGAAATAAAATAGTTGTTAGTTTCGTAAATTTAATATTTTAACGCTATGATACACCTTCTAGCATTTCATGCACAATGGCACTGTTCATTGCTTAAACTAACTTGTCGCCATTTTTCACCTCTTTCCCTATTCGAGAAATATACGTGCAGACATAGCAATGTCGTTGGCTTTTTCTACATGCTTTATTTGCAGGCAAATATTCCAGGAGATGAAGTAACCTCATGAATCCCGAGTTTCTAGTTATTTAGATTCGGATTATGAAGGAATTACGCTTGTATTTTTAGAAAAAAAAGTTTAAATCCGTAGTTGATGACATTAGTTAATCCCCAATGAAACATCAGTTGACAACGTGCTCCATTTAAGAGTTAAAGACTAAAACAGGTAAACGGACTTCCGATCATGACTCCTTGTTTCTAAATGTCTGTGGTTTAAAAATATCCACGTTTGTAAATAAAAGGAAAGCCTTTTTCGCGCATTCTTTTTAAATCTAACGCTCTGTTTTCGACAGATGCTCAAAACATAATGAACCGTTCGTGAAACCAAAGATTGCCTCCGTTGATAGCAGGCAACAGATATACAAACATTCGGGGAACTTTTTTCTTCCTGGGATTATTTTTTTTGAATGGAAGTTTTTTGCCGTCTTTCTTTCTTTTTTTGTTTTCTTTTTTGTAATTTTATCTGACTTTAGGTCTATCTTATTGTAGATACGGACAAACGATCGGTGTAACAGTCCATATAATCCTCTTCCCAGAATATGCCCGGATATAGTGTCACCGAATCAAGAATACTGATTTACTAAGCGTAAATTAGATGGAGCACATGCCTATAACTATGGAGCACCGAGTGTGGACCGAACTCATTACTCAGTTGTAACTGATCTCTAGCAAGGCAACCATTACACCACGGCGAAGTACGTAGCCATATAGTGACGCCCGTGTAGTCCTGAATAACCTCCGAGGTACGATTGGGAATATGTATAATAAATCTCACCCGCGTTTGGTCAGTGTATACCCACTTTTAGTATTAGTATCAATAACTCTTTTTTATAACTAGAATGTTATGGGATGGGGCCAATCTAAAAACTGATAGGCTTACGACTATATCACAGTCAAACATTCGTTCTCGTGCGATCACTGAAGTTAAGCAACGTTGAACCTGACCAGTATCTAGATGAGTGACCGCTTCGGAATACCAGGTGCTGTAAGTTCGGATGTGCGGGTGGTGCAATTGGAACCGGAAACTGGAGAACCGAATTCTAATTCAAGTCGGGTTCGTCATATTCACTTACGCGCAAATAACATTCGGAGAGGTATGAATCCACCTCTTCTCCCCCAGTTATGGGTTAATTAATAAAATTTTTATCAGTAAAAAAAAAAAGAAGAAAAAAAAGAAGTCTTATAATCTAAAAATATTTTCTGGCTTTAAATAACCTGCAAAAACAAACAAATCAATAAAAACCGGTAAGAATTGCCGATTAGAACTCATTCAACTGTTATTCGTGTTTCTAAACAGTAACTAATCTTGTTCAGTTAACAGTTTCTTGTTAAAATTAAACGAAGTGCTCTAGAATATACAAACTTGTTTATGGTCATCCAGAAGTTATGCTTATTAATGTGTAAGCCAAGAAATCTGAAAATAAATGACGGCTCTATAATGTATAGTGAATCAAAATGTATTGCAATTTGTTTTCTTATATAAGAAATAAGGAACATAATCAAACATATCGTACATCAAGATATAGCTATACATCATAGGTTCACATCCCTACTTCGCAACATAGTTAACACCTTTCAATGGCATGTGTTCCACCTTCGAACGAGTATATGTATAATAAATCTCACCTAGCTGCTGATATAGCCAGTTGTCTACAGCAGTGATCCCTTCGTCATCACAAGCTGGCTTAATACATTCAGACTTCCATCTTTATGGTCCAATGAAAGAAGCACAGAACGTTATGGCGGTGATGAAGAAGTGAAAACGGCTGTAAAGAATTGACTACATCAATAGCCAGATGAGTATTATAACGCTAGGATACATGCCCTAATTCAAAGGTAGAGTTGAGAATTAGGGATGTGAACCTATGATGTATAGATGTATCTTGATGTATGACATGTTTGATTGAGTCGCTTATTTCTTATTTAATAAAACAAATGACATTACATTTGACTCACCTTCGTACAAAAAAAATTCTGGGGACGCGTGACATGGCATGATCCATGATATCTCCGTCTATGATGTGGATACAACAATATACGTTTTATCACATAGGAAAAGAACTGTAGTATATTCTGGCCGAGATGTGTATATACTGGCATCTGTCTATATTTCTGAGATGAGGCATCATGTACACTATTTATATTGCAATTTTCGTTGTTATTATTGCTTTTCTCTGACACTCCTTATTACTAGTTCTCATATTATATTCATTACTATGTTTGTTCTGCTCAGGAGATATTTTGTGCGCTAGCATATGTGCTGATTCCTTAAGTTTACGAATTTTCCAGTGATATTCTTTGTCTGTGATTTCAACTTGATCCCACAGAGGGCAGAAGATTTCCTTTTTCTCTCCATATGTGGTCATCCACGCCTGATTTTTTAACAACGAAAATTGCAATATGACCTCTTGTTAAAAATGGTTTTTGAAGACATTAGGTTTATAATACCCAGAAATTCATACAGTGATGTCCTCAACAACACATGGCACAGTGGATAAAGGCGTTAGACAGGATCCAAAGTGTGTGAGTTCAATAAAGCGGTGGAGAAATTGGGGAGGGGAATTAACAGGAGATAACTGATAACTGACATCCATTAGACATGGCACGTGGAAATAGAATAGTCTACCCCAGCGAGCGAAATAAAGGGTTCAATTCAACATTCCAACCACCCGAAGAAGGATGGGGCGCACAACAACCGAAACGTAATTGTGATAAATATGGCAACAAGGATGAGGATGATAGTCCAAACAATGTAAATAGTTTATATACTGGCCTAACACATTTTATACCCAGTTGTATACACTGGGTGAGCCTAGAATAAGCCTGGGCTATTACATCGGTTGAGCCCCAAAAGACAATTTTAAAGGGCTTTGAGATGCAGTAAGCATTTCAGTTAGTTAAGTGCCACACGTGATACACGCTTGGGAGATCATGTGTCTTCCATAATAGGCAGAAGATTTTTCCCTCAGTAGGTCACTATTTTTTTCCGCGGTAGACAAGTTGCCAACCAAGCTGAAGAACTCAGTCTATCCTGTTATTCAACTCAGAGTTAGCGGGGAATGTATTCATACCTTTCACAAAGCGTAAATGAATCGAACGAAATCGATTGGAATTCCAACTCGGCTCTCCAATTTCTCATTCCAAGCCGATATCCATCACAATGACCGGAGATAAAAAAAAAAAAAAAAAGACAAAAGACAGTTGGTTTCTGGGTAGAAAAAACAAAAAAAATCATTTGATTTATACTTATAAAGTAAACTAAAAAATAGTTATTTTATTACTATTATAATATTTTTATTATAAGAGATTCTAATAAAACAATTTCACATCGCTACACAAAATCTTTCATGTTTCAATACTATGATTGTACTTCTTCAGGCGATGGTTGGTAACTGGTGATAAAAATGATTTATTAGGGAAGTTAAAAACAACTTCTTTTCGAAAGTTAAAGGTGGAGGCGCATAAGGTCAGAATTAAAAATATACCTGTGGGTATGTCTCGACTAACCAATTGAAAATCAGATTTAATCTAAATAGAAAAATAAGGTCAGAGGTTGGAGGTGGGTGAGTTATTTTTTCATGTCACGATAAACTGGCGCTTAGACATGACATCCAACGATTGTGGAAAACATGGTAGCGGCAAATATATTATATATATAAGTATGATGTTTCCATTTGTTGAAGTAGTGGGGGAGATTAATCAAACAAAGTTATCAAAAACAAATTTTGAAGAAAAAATATTTTCAGGAAGCTTCTTAAAGGGGTCAATAGATAAAATTAAAAATGTGGAACATCTATATACGATGCTAATAATACTGAATAAACGGAAAAACATGTCAATATTAAAGTTGAATAAACCAAATAAATAAATTACCCGTAAAGGGTGGACCATTATATATTGTCATTACTTGTTAAAAATTAAATAATCCTTATTTTCCTATGATATGTTTCCAAAGCCAGAAGCCAAAGTTATGAATTTGTTCCTCGTAGCCTTATGACTTTTCCGAGATTTTTTTCTCTGCAACTATACAGAAGTCGATAAGTTTGTAAAAATCTTGTAATTCAGTATCTGTCTATATTTCTGAGATGAGGTATCATGTACACTATTTACAATATTCGGACTATTGTCCTCATCTTTGTCGCCATATTTATCACAACGTTTCGGCCGTTGTACGCTTTGGCCTTCTTCAGGTGGTTGGAATTTCGAACTGAACTAACGCCTTTATCCACATGGCACAGTGGATAAAGGCGTTAGTTAGATCCAATGACAGGACCCAAAGAGTGTGAGTTTAATACCCGGTTAAGGCAGTGGAGAACTTTTAGAGGTAAATTAACAGGAGATAACTGATAACTGACCCCCATTAAACATGGCACGTGGAACTAGGACAGTCTACCACAGTGAGCGAATTAAAGCGTTCAGTTTAACATTCCAACCACCTGAAGAAGGCCGGAACGTACAACGGCCGAAACGTTGTAATAAATATTGCAATAAAGACAATAGTCCGAATGATGTAAATAATCTCGTAATTCAATTAGGGAAATATTACGTTCACTTTGAAAATACAAAATCAAGGTCTTTTTTTTTTTTTTTTTTTACCGAGTTCAAAATAAATTTCGAGGTTTCACTTAATATTAAAACAATCCTAACATATTGATTAATTTACTGGTGAAGAATTGAGTTTGTGTTTTTTAAAAAAATTTACGAAAGAGTAACGTTTTGTTTTCTCCTTTATTATTTGTATAGTATTTCTGAACGTGCCTATGACTGAAAACTGACATGTTTTGGCTCTCGTCTGCTTTCAATCTAAGGATTTTGAAAGACCAACAGCTAAATAGAAAAACAAGTTAATGACATATAAGCAAAATATGGACACTATTAAAAGTAAACGTTTTGGGATATTAGGTTGATATTGGTTTAGCTGCTTTGAATCAACCCAAAGAGGTTTTGTTTTAATTTTTTCCGTGTTTTGAGAGAGAGAAAAGAAAGAGGGGAATAAACGAACGTAGAGAAAAAACCAGAAAGCTTGTTTTAGCACAAGAGAATGTCCAAAACAGGGATTTTCTATCTATCTTCATGACACACCTCTCTGTCTCACTCATGACCCCCACTCTCCCTCTCACTCTTGACGAGGCAGCAATGGGTGGAGTTTTTGAGGAAAAGGAAAGGAATTTAACTTTTAAGTATGTAGAAAAATTCGGAATTGTGGTGGTTTATGCTAGAGAAGTTTTAAACCACATAATGAGAAAGACGTTCAACCGAGAAAAGAGAGAGAGAGAGAGAGAGAGACGTACAACCGAGAAAAGAGAGAGACGTACAACCGAGAAAAGAGAGAGACGTACAACCGAGAAAAGAGAGAGACGTACAACCGAGAAAAGAGAGAGTGAGTGACGTTCAACCGAGAAGAGAGACGTTCAACCGAGAAGAGAGAGAGACGTATAACCGAGAAAGAGTGACGTTCAACCGAGAGAGAGAGAGAGAGAGAGAGACGTTCAACTGAGAAAAGAGAGAGAGAGAGACGTTCAACTGAGAAAAGAGAGAGAGAGAGAGACGTTCAACTGAGAAAAGAGAGAGAGAGAGACGTTCAACTGAGAAAAGAGAGAGTGAGTGACGTTCAACCGAGAAGAGAGAGTGAGTGACGTTCAACCGAGAAGAGAGAGTGAGTGACGTTCAACCGAGAAGAGAGATGCACAACCGAGAAAAGAGAGAGAGAGAGAGAGACGTATAACCGAGAAGAGAGAGAGAGAGTGAGCGAGAGTGAGAGACGTTCAACTGAGAAAAGAGAGATAGATATACAAGCGAGAAAAGAGAAAGAGAGAGAGAGGGACGTTCAACCGAGGAAAGAGAAAGACATTTAAGCAGAAACAGATTGACATGTAGGCAGAAAGAAAAAAAAGAGGGATATTTAAACAAAAATAAAACTAACTAAAAAGAATGGGAGGCTGTCAGATTAAAGAGAGACACTAAAGTAAAGCAAGGTTGTTTAGGATTT